TTTGCTGTTGTCAATGGAAAGGAATTACCCAGGATAAAAGTGATGACAGTGTAGAATCCAAATTGATTTCCAAGGAGGTCCCTCTCTCTCTTCCCTCCCTCAAATTGGAGGCTGTCGGTGCTTTTGCTATATCTGAACTACAGACTGAGCCATTCCATCTCTCCTGCCTTTATTATTTAATGTAATTTGTTTTTCTAAATATAGATGGTGAGCACACCATCCACTGGGAACTTCTCCAAGGCAACTTTGCCACATTTCCCTTTGGTTCAGAGTGAGCAATTGTGGTTATGAAGTTAAGCCCTCCCAAGTTACAAATGTTGCTGGAGATGTAACACTAGGCTATTTCCCCAAAATGTCAATCCCGGATCAGATGATGGGTGGATTTGGGGAGTCAGAGGATTTGCCCTCAACATATCTCTGCCTTCAATTCAGCCTAGATTCAGAGTTGTCCTGTGAAAAGTTACAGCCAGAATTCTCTATCACGGTCTAGGTTACATCATTTTACATACCAGTATGCAAAGGGATCTTGTCGCACCTTTGAGACTAACTGCGTAGAAGAAGTTGTAGCCTAAGCTTGTGTAGATTTGGTCTGCTTCATCAGATGCATCGAGTGAACCGGTGCCCAGGAAGGACCTTTATAATCAGACTGTATGAATAGCCATAGAAATGCAAAACTTGTGGGTATGATGATGTGGTGACAAGTTCCATTTTAACCATGATGGTTGAGGGGCAAAGACAGGAGGAAGGATGTTGCCTAAGGCCAGGGTGAGTGGGTGAGGGATTTTTGTAATGTGGTGTGTGCCGGCTGGGAACCAGAAAGGAGTTGTGATGACTTTATATATATTTAACTACATAGCAGGGGCTCTAGAGAACCCTCTTAGTAAATTACAAAGATGCATATCTGGGCACCAGCAAGAGTGTCAGATGCACATCAAATTCTACCAATGTACATCGGGACTCCCAATATGTCCCAATATGTGGCAGGTTCTTCAATGCATATCAGCAGTACTTAGGGTTGGTTGGGATGGGACAGGGATTGTATTTATGTAAATGTTTAATGTTGTAAGCCACCCTAGTTGCTCTGCAGAGGGGCGGGGTAAAAATAAAATTATTATTATTATTATTATTATTATTATTATTATTATTATTATTATTATATAGACATTGGGTATTGGGAATAGCCAATGTGGCTCACTCCCAATGCACAACAGTCCTGATGCTCAGTGGTCCCTTCATTGTCTCCTACTGTAGTGACATCTGGCAGCCCTTGCTGAAAACAGTTGTTGTGAAACTGCTTCATTCTATTTCCCGCAGACATTAGGTCCACTTACAAAGATGCAAATCCCCAAGTGAATTACACCCAATTCTGTGCTACTTAGTTGGTGTTATTTCCCATCAAGCCAGGTTCAGCTTGGGGCAACCACATGAATGAGAGCCTTTCAAAAGACCTTGGCCAAGATCCAGAATGGTGATCATAACTATGATGATGGAGCTCATCAATGCTCCCCCAGATCTACCTTCAGAGCCTGGCAGTACCCCAGTTGAAGAATTTCTGAAGTTCTAGAGTTTGGAACACTAGGAAGTGACATCAGCATTACTCTCCCGGTCCAGAGATGTCTTGAGAACTGCTTGGATCACCCTTTTCAAGATTTGAATGAAACAGAAAACACGGGGTTGTCACTGCCTTTTGAATTGAGCTAGGCCCTGCTTCCAGGCAGATGGGTTTGCAGGTTGTCAACTTGGGGTGTACTGCTGGATTCAGTCCTGGCCCTAGATGGTCAGGTTTCTACAGTGGCCAGGAGATGAGATCCTAGAATCATAGAGTTGGAAGGGACCCCAAGGGCCATCTTAGTCCAATACCTGCCATACAGGAAGACACAAAGCACTCAATTACAAATGGCAAAGGAAGGAGTCTCCATCACTCTCATAGGCACCATATTCCACTATTGAACAGCTCTTACCCTTAGGAAGTTCTCCGTAATGTTTAAGTGGATCTCTTTTTCTGTAACTTGAATCCTTTGCTCCATGTCCCAGTCTCTGGAGCAGCAGAAAACAAGCCTGCTCCATCCTCTATAACATCCCTTCAAAGATTTAAACATGGCTATCATATCACCCCTTAACCTTCAACTGTCCTTACAACTTTCATATGTGTTCCCCAAACATGTTTTTTAAAAATTTAATCTGTAAATAAATCAAACTCTCCCTGAAAATTTGCATCCAAATATATATTTAATAGGTCAATAGAGGTTTCTTTCAAAATAACACATATCTAAATGCATTTTCAAGTCAAAGCAAAAACAAAATTGCTTTGCATCTCTTTTGAAACAAGAAACTTTCTTGGACATTTTGAGGATGAAGAATGGATGAAGGATGAAGAATGGAGAAAGACGAAGCTTGGAAAAGGTACCGTACCACTTTGGTTAACAGTTCCCAAAATTCCATCTGGCATGTCGTCTTGGGGATTCTGGGAGCTGTAATTCAAAATCAGCATT